AGGACTTGAGCCACAGTCGACTACATGGGAGTCCAACAACACAGCCATTACGCCAACTGCTGGTCCCAATATGTAATCTCCTATAATGGAATTGGCCCACAGGTTTAAGTAACTGAAAGTCATTAAACCATGGATATTCCTAACTTTTGCTTATGTGAGAAGAAAAGTTTGCTCAGGTGATACAGGTTTATTTGGAACTGCAACTATGAGGAGAGTTTACCATACCTACAGGAAGATAATGCAAGGATATTCAGCCTCAGTTTGAGCATAGAGAGCTGCCCACAAGAAGAGAGTACTGCTAGGACTCTTTGATTCCAAAACAATGGTTTGGGACCAGCAGTTGTAATGGCTATGTTGCTGGACTCCTATGTAGTCGACCGCGGTTCCTGTCCCAGACCCGGTGACTTAAAACTCACGCCGGGCGCATGTGTGTGCGTGCCCAAGATCCCAAGAGGAGAATGGAGGAGAAGGGATTGTAGCGTGGCCATCCCCCCCTGGGGGGTGATTTCTTGCTTTCTGTCTCTCTGTCTCTCTCTGTCTGTCTGGCAAGCGCACGTGCTCTATGGCAAAAACCTCTCCAAAAAAAAAAAAACCACAAACACAAAAACAAAAAAACAAACAATGGTTTAATTGTTAATCAGAAAAGTTGCATTAAGGTGTACATCTTTTCTTGTGTTCTGTTGACCATTTTCTGGAGCACAATTATTTCCTGGAAAGTTGGAAAGAAAACTGAATAAGGCCAGTCCCATAGCCAAGTAATTAAGGGATTTGGATACCAGATAGCCAACTGCAGTTCAAATCCTGGCCCAGCAGCTTTAAAAACCATGCTAGGTGTGTATGTGTGTTCCAAATCCTGACAGAATGTGACCATGCCCAGTGGGGACTGCTTTCTCCCTTTCTCTCCCTCTGGTAAGCACATACCTTCAGCAATTAAAAGGAAAGAAAAAAAAATAATAAAACTGAATAAAACTTTTTAATTCACTGTAAAAAGAAAAGGGTAATCGAGCATATGCCTGAAGGGAGTAGTTCAAGAAAACAGAAAATGAACCCTAAGACAGTGAGACAATGGGGCCAGCAGGTGGCAGGGTGGTTAAGGCGCTGGACACTCCCACATGGCCAACATGGTTCAAGACCTGGACCTGGTAGCCTGCTTTCTCACTTTGCCTCTCTCTTTGTCTCTCTCTCTGTCTGTGTTTGTCTGGTCAAATTAAAATAAATGAATGAATGAATAATAATAATAAAAAAGACAGTGAGACAAAACACTGCTGTGGAAAGGTCAAAGTGGAGCCTGTGAGCAGAGATGAGGGGATCAGCTCAGGACTATCCCATCACTGTCTGCAAAGGCTGGCTGGACATGAGGGGAGAAGGGGGAGCACCAGCCTGCTTCAAGCCTTGGGATAGGATGCAGAGGTGCCCACAGTGCCGGGGACAAAAGAGCCCACAGGTGGACCTACAGATGGTCATCAGTCACTTTAGGGAGAGGAGAGTAAGGGGGGGTAGGTGAGCAGGTAAGGGAGTTAGGTATGTAGGCACAGATAACTCGTATGAAAAGACTAGGTATTTTGTGCTATTTTGTCATTTACACAGGGTCTCTCTGTGTCCCAATCCTCCCGCCTCAGCCTCTAGATTGGGACTACAGGCATGCACCACCATGTCTCTTCTTCAGAAAGGGTCTCACTATGATGCCCAGGCCAGCCTCAAGCTCATAATCCTCCTGCCTCAGCCTCCCCAGGTCAGTGGGATTGCAGGTGCAGCCCACCTCACTGGGCCTTTATGTTGGACTAGGCCTTTAACCCTTCCACATGGTGCTGGCTCATGGAGGGACAGTGTCTTAGCAGTACAAACCACCATGGCAGGGCTGAGATTAGGTTTGAAACAGAAAGAACATGACAACAGTATGAAGAGAGAGTCTATCTAGGGTTATTTTTCTAAAATAGGAGCCTCTTACAAACGTTTTCCTTCAAAGTCAGCCCAAGTGACCTCACTCACATTTGGGATTGATATGGTCCTCCACATTCCAGATGGAGTTGAGTGTTTCTTTGAGGTAAGGAGTGCAAGTAACTTCCAACTGCTCCCAGCCCCTGTGAAAAGTTGATACACACATCTCTCAGGAGACCTGAAATTCATCAGAGAATAGTACTGTCTACTGCTCTTAAATCTGAGGAACTTCTCTCTTTTCAATCTAGTGGCCATTATTTTTCAACCTCATTCTTTTGTATTCTGTAACTATCCTAGGAGTGCTCTAGCATACAGTATTTCCATTTTAGAAAGAGACATAGACCCAGACATCGGCAAAGTCAGATGTACAAATGTTCAACTAGTAGAAAACAGACCATCCAACTACCCTGCAGTTCTGCACTCCACAAAACACGTGCTGCCTTTTCTAATGTCATCTACCACTAAGAAAAAACAAACATAACTGAACACTGACCACTGGGAAATGGAATCTTCTGGTATATTCCTTATAGTGTAAAAGGAAAAACGTGTGTCTTGATCAGGACATCAAAACCCTAGGGACTTACCACCTGGGAAGAACCTTTCCTGAGGAGCCCAGGACACAACCTGTGACCAGATGGATGAGGCGAATTCGACTTCTCAGCACTTTTATCCGGTTTCCAAATTTTCTGTTTACAATCTCAATACGCCAGAAATCATTTGAGTCCCCTGTCCCGTTCTGGCACATAAAGCAAGAAAACACACACACACACACACACACACACACACAGAAAAAGTGAGATGACTTTAGAGGAACAGTGCCAGAAAGGTAAATGACCACCCCCCTTTCAGATGTCACCATCTTATGAAGATCAAAGACCAGATCAGCCTCAGTGGTTGAAGTGGGAAAAGGAGGAAATAACTGACGCTAGCCCAGCATGCACTACTACAACCAAAAAAAGAAATACAACTCCTTGAACCAGAAGTCCAATTCTTTACTTCATGAGATTAGAACTTAAGTTCCAAATAGATGTTATGCCCATAAGCCAGCCCCAAGAGCGAACAAAAATAGATCTTGGCCATTTGCATACATTACCTTGGCCATCTGGATACTCACTCATCTAAGCCAGAAAAGATCTGGCCAGGATATTACACTTTGGAAATGAAGACAGTGTGTCTAATATTCCTTAGGAGGTGCCCACAAGAAAAAAAGATTAGAAAGTTCAGAATCTTGGCTCTAGTACAATGTGGGATGAGCAAATAAAAAGAGTGTTGGGGGGGACCAGCAGTTAGCATAATGGCTATGTTGGTGGATTCCCATGTGTCGACTGTGGTTCGAGTCCCGGACCCGGTGGCTTAAATTCATGCCGGGCACGTGTGTGTGTGTGCCTAAGATCCCGAGAGGAGAATGGAGAAGGAACTGCGGTGTGGCCATCCCCCGTGGGGGGTGATTTCTCGCTTTCTGTCTCTCTGTCTCTCTCTCTTTCTTGAGAGCACTCACACCCTATAGCAAAAAACTCTCCAAAAAAAAGAGTGTTGGGACCTCTACCTCCAGAAACCCAGAATCTTCAGAAGCACCAAAGGCCTTGGAAGGGAATGTAACTGAAAGTCGTAAATATAGTTTCGTACTAGTTGTTTTTGTCTTCAATTACCGTCCAAATCTTAAGTACTCATAGAGATTTTGCTCTACAAACTGCATCTCCCTGAAGTGTAAAATGCAAAAGCTCTATAGATAACACCCTCTGCAGAACAGGGAAGTGAGCCTTAAAAATAACGCCAGGGAGAATTTGTGATCTGGCAAAAGATGTACATGTTCATCTGGGGCCATATTGTGGGTCCTCAGCTTTTATGTCCAGTGTGATTTTAAGAAACCAAAGAGTATTCATATTTGACATTTATTAAATATCAGAATATATAAAGGCATAGTTATTATACGATGAGAGAAACAGAGACAGACGGACTTCATAGGCTGCTTTTCCCACGGCAAGCCTAGCCAAAAAGTTTCCAAATGTTTAGAAAGTCCCTGTGCAGCCTACAACCTTTAGGTCTATTCCAGAGTTCTGGGGGAGAATGTGTCCCATCACGTGACCCTGAACCAAGCCCCACAACTTCCTACATCCTGCTCACACTCCAGATGCTCACTTACTATGCCATAGCCAGTGACCTGATAGTGCTTCCGGGTCAGAGGGGCCTCATGGTAGTGACTGTGCAAGTTCCGAGAAGTCCTAAAAGAGAAAAGTGCTGTTATCCTGAAGAAAAGAGATGTGCGATGTTTTTATTTTACCTGGGACACTCAGTAATCTGTTAGGGTAAGAAATATTAACATCAGAGCCCTCACATCCAATGTATCAGGAACTTGTTGACTATTTACTCATAAGAAATATCCAGAAAACTAGAGAAGAAGAGTGCAAGCCCAGAGATACAGATGGTAGGAATAACAGACTACATGGCAAGAAAAGGGGTAACTTCAGGGGTTGGGTTAGGGGTGGCGAAGGGGTGACTTTCACACATTTGGAAGTTTTGAAGTACTTAGCTTGCCTGATTTATGAGGTAGGTTGTGTCAAAAAAAATTAAAACTTGCAGTCTACATATGCCTACGATAGGTGAATCTCTCCACTTCCATCTACTCTATCCCTGTCACCGTTTTTTTTTTTAAAGTAGAAATCTGTGGGAGATGAAAGTGGGTTTAATTTAGTTTTTTAAGTTATTTAGTTATTTTTAAAATAATTACCGAATTAAATTTATTATTATTATTATTTTATTTGCTATAGGGCACGTGTGCTTATTATTAGAGAAAGGGAGGAACAAAGTGATAAAGCAAGTTGCCAGATCTGGGACTTGAACCATAGTAGGTCATGTGAAAGTCCACTGCTTTAACCACCATGCCATCTGCTGGCCCCAGTTATTTAGTTCTTTTTCTTTTTCCTTAAGAGAGATTTTTGCTATCGGGTACATGTGATCACAGGAGACACAGAGAGAGATAAAAAGACAGAAAACAAGAAATCACCCCTTAGCGGGGAATGGCCACACCATAATCCCTTCTCCTTCATTCTCTCTCCTCTTTGGATTTTAGGCATGTACATACATGTGCCTGGCATGAGTTTCAAGATGCCAGGTCCAGGACTTCAACTGCAGTTGGCTACATGGGAGTTGAGCGCCTTAACTGCTATGCCACCTGCTGGCCCCAGTTATTCAGTTCTTAATAACAACTCTTACTTTTATCCATATTAAGTAACAAATATTTCTTATAAAATTTTTAGAAATTAAAAAAATAAAATTTAATTATAGCAATTAATTTTAATTAATGATAAATTTTATTTAATTACAATTAAATAAAAATTGAAAGTATTCAAAATTCTTGGGCCAGCCCCAAAGCCAATTAGTTAAGAGCACTAGATCTCACATGGTCAACCATGGCTCGAATCCCAACACCAGCAGTTGAAAAAATAACACTAGGCGTGTGTGTCGTGCATGCCTAAAATACTGACAGGATGGAGAAATGGAGGAGTAGGGATTGCAGCATGACCATGCCCCACTGGGGAGTGATTTCTCCTTTTCTCTGTCTCTCTCTGGTAAGGACGTATGCCCTCTGGCAAATTAAAAAAAAAATTAAATTATCCAAAATCCAACTGACTAGAGAAAAATCATGGCTAACCACTTTTCTACATACACACTCATATATACTTATATCCCTGATTTTTTTTTTTTATATCTGCTTCTGATAATTCTAGTATATGGCATCTTTGCAGGGCCTGGTAACTCTTCAAAATCTTGTTAGCTTTTGAATGCTCTTAAGAAGAATTTTTTAATATTATTCTTTAGTCGTTTTTTATCATTTTCAGTTAGAGCATTGGCTAAGTCACCTGGTTTACTATATTATCAGAAATCGACTCCTACACCTTTCTAAAGGTAGCCACTTAAGAAGCAGCTTTGGACAACTCAATCTTTTTGTTTTTTCCTCTAGAAGAAGGGAAACTGAAAAGTACCCTTAGAGTTAAAAGCTCCCCAGAACTCAAATAGGCAGGCGAAGGGCTGGCCTGCTTATCTTATCAACCTTCATAAAACAGCAGCCTTGTTCCATTTTCTAGAGCCTCATTCAAATCTGACTTCTCTTCATTTTATTTCCTTCTTTTAGAGGTTTCTGCCTTGGGTGCATGTGCTTGTTGGAGAAAGAGGCAGAGATAGTGAGAGGGAAAGTGAGAAATCGCCCCCTGGGGGGTGGCCATGCTGCAATCCCTTCTCCATTCTCCTGGGATCTTGGGCATGTACATACACATGCATCCAGCATGATTTTTGAGCCGGGCCTGGTAACTCTTCAAAATCTTGTTAGCTTTTGAATGCTCTTAAGAAGAATTTTTTAATATTATTCTTTAGTCGTTTTTTATCATTTTCAGTTAGAGCATTGGCTAAGTCACCTGGTTTACTATATTATCAGAAATCGACTCCTACACCTTTCTAAAGGTAGCCACTTAAGAAGCAGCTTTGGACAACTCAATCTTTTTGTTTTTTCCTCTAGAAGAAGGGAAACTGAAAAGTACCCTTAGAGTTAAAAGCTCCCCAGAACTCAAATAGGCAGGCGAAGGGCTGGCCTGCTTATCTTATCAACCTTCATAAAACAGCAGCCTTGTTCCATTTTCTAGAGCCTCATTCAAATCTGACTTCTCTTCATTTTATTTCCTTCTTTTAGAGGTTTCTGCCTTGGGTGCATGTGCTTGTTGGAGAAAGAGGCAGAGATAGTGAGAGGGAAAGTGAGAAATCGCCCCCTGGGGGGTGGCCATGCTGCAATCCCTTCTCCATTCTCCTGGGATCTTGGGCATGTACATACACATGCATCCAGCATGATTTTTGAGCCACCAGGTCTGGGACTCAAACCATGGTCGGCTCTGCGTGAGTCTAGTGGTATAACCACCATGCCATCTGCTGGTCCTCATTTTATTTCTTAAAAGAACTCTTTGCTCTTGGTTCCCATATCCCACTTATTTATCCAAATAGCAAATTCACTTACTCTTTGTGTTCTAGGCGAATGATGTCCCCATGTCTCACAAACTCCACTGGATAGGAAGGGTCCAGGGGATCTGCCAAGGAGACACGAGCATTGGTCCCTGGACTCATTCACTGACTAGGCTAGTATCAATCTATGGCCGAGGGGTAAACAGCTACAGTACCACACGATGTGTGCTAGAGATACTAAGAGTACTGAGAGAACAAAGAGTAAGGGCCTTAATTGCCTCAGATGATTAGAGAAGGGTATCTCAGAGACATACTTGGAAAGACTCAGAAGGGGAGAATTCTCCCAGGTGAACGAGTAGGGCAAAGGCACAGAGGCAGGAAAGAACAAAACTCATTTGATCAATGGCAAATGGTTTCCTACCATTGGGTGGGGAGGAGGAAAAGTTGGAACGGGAGATGAGGATGTAAGTAAGGTAGAGTGGGACTACTACAGAGGCCAGGCTGGGGATGTGACCCCTATCTGACAGGCACTGAAACCCCACCGGAGCTGACACTGGGAAGCGAAATCATCACTCTTCCTTTTAGTAGTAATACTATAGTCTCCCAAAAATGAATCCCATGCGAATGACCATTTGCCCAACTCTCCTAAAAAAACAAATGTTAAAGAATGCAGATTTTTCTAGTGATTATCTTGTCTCCGGCAACAGACTTGCAACAGTGTGAGAAGAAAGTGCTGAAATAGTTAAATATCTCCTTATCTGGAGGTCAATATCTGGAAGTCAAGACAGATCAAGATCTAGAAAGGCAATGATATGGAAACGAAGCTGGCAGAAATCATAACAACACAGACTGGATCCTTGCAAATTTGTGTCCCAAACAGTGAGACACCAACACTATAAATAGATCAAGGTCAGGAAAGATAAATTTGCCAGTGCCAATCACTGACTCTCAAGAGAATAAAGAGAATTCAAATGCAGAGATGCCCATTGCTATGCTGTCTTTCAAGGTCCCTGAAAAATATTGATTACAAGATGACATATCAAATAGGTCAATAGGGAGGGAAAATTTTGATCTCATAGGGATTTGTAGCATTTATAGCTATAAGAACACAATGGTCTTAGTTTGTAAAGTTCCCATAAAATCCTTAGTTGCTTGGGTGAAATGCAACCATCTTAACTTAGAAGACACAATGGAATAATAGACCAGGGATGTTGAAGACTAGGTATCTGCCCACATGACTTAGAAATAAAGCTGGTCTTCCCTCCTAACTCCTCATTGTGAGAGACCACTGATGTTTGGCCTGTTGGATTAAGACACAGCCAACACTAGTATTACAAAGATGTGAAAAACAGACTCTGTCCAATGGTGCAATCATTTAAGTAACAGGAATGGGACACAAAGATGGTGGTTGTGTTTGCCACATTTCTAGCCTAGAAATGGCAATAGAGAAGGTGGAACAAGGAACAAAGAAGGTAATTTTGATGTGCAGCTGCGCCCTTCTCCACATTGGCTCAGGAGGCTGCCTTAGGAGAGGCTGAGGCAGGTGGCGTTTGCTAAAGAGTCCAGAGAATTCCTGTGGCATAGGACTATCAGCAGTGACACTGGGCTCAGAGGTGAGGGAACAATGCCCTCTGTCCTCTTCTCAGCTGCAGCAGAGACAGAGCTTGCAGGTAGCCAACTGTCTGGCCAAAGAATGGAAGAGCTAGATAAAGCTCTTGCTCTTGTCATAAAGTCCTGAGAGCCCAACCGGTATGCTTCAGTTATTTCACGCAAGCCAGTCAGAGGCAGACCAGAAGACGCTGAGTAATGCTCTAGGCGCCAGACTGGACAAGCCCAGTGACAGGGCTGGCAGGCCCAGATTTCTAATGAACGGATTCAGTCCAGGAATGAGCAGTATTTGGCACTCTGTCTCATTGAGACAAGACAACCTGTGCTGCATCACAGGCTGGGAGCTGTGAGGCTGGGTGTGAAATGAGAGCAGTTGCCAGGTACCCTCGGCTGGTACTCACCAGCCCCTGATACATACTTAGGTAACCTCTTCCTGGGGTAAGTCTGAGCGTTAGCCCTGCTCTCTGGCCTCAAGATGAAAAAAGCTCTGTTTTGCTAAGTGCTTATCCTCTGCCTACAATAGTGCTTGGACGATAGTAGGTGCTCGATAAATAACTGCCAAGAGGATAACTAAGACCTTAGTAAAGATGTTATCAAAGATGATCAGGGAAGTCCATCTCAGTGTCATTCTCTTGGAGGCAAAAGAAATGTTAAGAAGGGTTCAGAGCAGGCGGTGAGACAAGAAGCATCAGGTCCTGATCACATTACCTGAGTTTGTATTATGTTTCTTGATAATCCACAGGTTGTTGTAGTCCTTGTGCAAGTAGGTGGTGACCTAGGTGGGGGTGGGAGCAGAGGGAGGAGGAGGCGGGAGGGAGAATGCCATCACTATCAGCACAGCTGACCACAGACAATCAAGCAAAGCAACACTGGGGAAGCCTCCTTCAGTATCCCAGCACCAGCCCAAGGGGGCCGTGTTTCCCAAAGGGCTCAGTAGCATTGGTGAGAGACTCTTCCCTTCCTTCCACAGGTAGAGGCCTTGACCCATGCAAGCCTTTTTGATTTGTCTCTTTGAAGTTCTCTGTATCTTGTCCTTAAAGTTTCAGCCTTCTCTAGGGAGACACCACAATACTTGCATAAAAGAAGAGTAGATTTAGTGTACTTTAAAAAGTAATTAAGACCATGCCTCAGACTCACTAAATGAAAAATTCATGGTATTACATTTTATATAATGTGGCCAAAGGAAACTAAAAAGCTCTATAAATACCTCGTCCTAGAATTTTAACCCACAGACATTTTGTACACACTGATTTCTTTAAAAAGTATGTATGTGAGGGGTGGGCAGCCAGTAGCATAGTGGATAAGGTAGATGGATCCCATATGGCCAACTGTGCAGTTTGAATCCCAGACCTGGCCAAGTGCGTGTGTGTGCATGCCCAAAATCCCAAGGGGAAATGGGGGAGAAGGGTCTGTGGTATGGCTAACCTTCCTGGGAGGGGGTGCTTTCTCTCTCTCTCTCTGTCTCTCTCTTTTCTGTCTCTCCCCAGCAAGTAAGTACACATGCCCTTGGCAAGTTAAGAAAAAAAAAAGAAAGAAAAGGCTGTGTGTGTGCATGCTAAAAATGTGCTAAAAAGTGCTAAAATTAAAATCTAAAAATGGTATGAAGGTCTACTAATACAGGAATAGACATACTATTGATAGTATGTCCATAGGATGGAACATTATACAGTCACAAAAAATATTTCAGGTCATTTTTTAGCAGCATGAAAAAAGGCTCATGAAATGCTGCTGCTGAAAATGGCTGCTACTTAAAACCAGACACTGTCCTAAGGAGCAGGCAAGTCTTGTCAGCTCCACACTATGGTTATCTCCTCCCCGCTGCCTACGAGGAAACTGAGGTTAAGCCATTTGCTCAAGGTCACACAGCTTATGAGTTAGGGGAGACAGGATTCACACCAGAAAATCTAACTCTATCTCCAGGATAGAGATCATCCAAATACAATTGTGCCAGTTATGTAAACAAATATGTAAACCTGGAAACAATGGAAATATAGGCATTTCTCTTGCAGCATGAGTTTTTCAACTCCAATTGGACAAAACATGACTGATTTACTTGCAAAGAGATTTGTAATGATCATTTAGGAGGAAAAGTATATTTTGCATATATGAAATAGGCTGCCTTGTCTGAGTGGTTTTGCTCTGTTACTCAGAAAAACATTAGTGATGGTAGTTGTAAGAATATGCAAGTGGGGGGACCAGCAGTTAGCGTAATGGCTATGTCGCTGGACTCCCATGTAGTCGACACTTAAAACTCACACCAGGCACATGTGCGTGCATGCCCAAGATCCCGAGAGGAGAATGGAGGAGAAAGGACTGTGGCGTGGCCAACTCCCCTGGGGGGTGATTTCTCACTTTCTGTCTCTCTGTCTCTCTCTATCTTTCTGACAAGTGCATGCACACTATAGCAAAAACCTCTCCAAAAAAAAAAAGAATATACAAATAGGGCCAGCAGCAGGTAGTGTTTTGGTTAAGGTGCTGGATTCCCACATGGCCAACCACAGTTTGAGGCCTGGACCTGATGGCTTGAAAATCACACCATGCATGCCCAAAATCCTGAAAGGTGGCTGGAGAAGTTATTGAGGTGTGGCCATCCCTCTAGGGGATGATTTCTCACTTTCACTCTCTGTCTCTCTCTGGCAAGTACATATACCCTAAGGCAAAAACAAACAAAAAAAGAATATATAAGAAGTTAAAATTTTGGTGATCATAGAGAAATGACAATAAATGCATATGTATATTATGTGTGTGTGTGTATGTGTGTGTATTTTTCAGGCCCTATATTTACATATATTTTAAAAACACTTGAAAACTGAGACCTACAGATGTTAAACTGGGCAGGAAGACCACTAGGTGTTGTTTATCTATTTACAGATGAGGAAATGGGCTGAGAAACGCTAAGTGGCTCAGTTAATGACAAAGGCAGATACCTCCATCCCTTGGCTCTCCCTACGTCACCATCATGATTTCACACCTCCACACATGGGTTCCAAGTGTGTAACCGAGACTCACGTAACCGGACCTTTCAGAACTCAGCCTTTCTCTCCCTTTACACAGTACAGATGTTCCTGGCCACCAAGCCATAGCATTATTATCTTCTTTATGACACCTGCAGCAAGGTATTACCCAGGAACGGTTAGCTGTAATTTTCTACCCTGGCTGTACATGAGAATCTTCTAAGGTGCTTGAAATCAATACAAAAATGCACAATGCATGGGCCCCATCCTAGACTAATTAAGTCAGAATCTCCGCGGTACAACCCACACATCAGAATATTTTACAAGCTCTCCAGTGGACTCTAAAGTGCACCAGGGCTGAGAGCCACTGGGCTAGAACCACTGGAGAATCAAGGATGAAAAACAGACACTAAAACCCAGCACCATGGGTCAACTTTTCAGTTACTAAAAAGGAAATAATAATGAAGTATTCTGAGAAACAAAACTTTTGGCCAAATGAAGACACTGGTCATTTTCAAGGAGAAACTTCATTTACAAGCATCTCAGAATAACAGCCTTCCTGCAGCCTCTATTTCCTCACCTCCCATTTACCCCTTACGTCATTGCATCTGCAACTTCTGCCCTTGTCGCCCCACTGGACCTGCCATCATCAGAGGTCCAGCCTATCATGCCTTCCAGGCCTCACCTTCTGAGCTCTCTGCAGCACCTGAGCTGCAGACCACCTCCTGCTTCCAGAGACCGGGTCTCTCTGTATTCTTCCCCACTCCAACCTCCCTGTTCATGCCTCCTCATTCTCAGCTTCTTCCCCTGGCTCCACTCAGAGCATCTATGAACATTGCCCTAAATGGTAGTGGTCTCTAGGGTTCCTTCAGTGGGCCTTGTCCCTCTGCACAACCTTTTTGGGCAATGCCACCCATTCCACTGTGTGCTGCCACCATCCTACTGTGCGTCAATACCCATTTGCTCCATTCTCCAATCTCTGTCCTGAGATAAGCCCCAAATCTAAAATACACAAAGGAAAACTCTCCAATGCAATCCTTCCTCTTCTGTTTCTGATTATGGTGAAAGGTGTACCACGGTACACCTTGGCATCCATATGGACCTGAGCAGAACTCTTCCTGACATCCATCGGATACTGGGCCCTGACATTACACCTGTGAGGTGTGCCCTGAATCAATCCCAACCTCTATCCCCATGGTCTCTGCCTCCATTTACCAACCTTCGTCATGATTACTGCCTCCTTACTGGCAATCCATCTCACTCTCATTGAAGGTACTGTTCTGATCTAGAGATCTAATCACACCTTGTCATCATTTAGTAACTTCTGTGGCTTCCCTCAGTCTATGGAACAAAGCCAAATCCACTAAAACAGAGGCCTCTCCCAGGCACCACCACCCTTTAACATCTGCTCCTCCCTCTCAGGCACCATCCACCACAGCCACACCAATGCTCCCTACCATGGACGCAGTGGGTCCACTTGTCCAGACGCTACTGGGGCTAGCCCTCAGGTTAGCTCATTTGATCCTCACAACTCTGTGATGGAGAGGGGTCCCAGTTTAAATATGAGGACACTGGGAGCCAGCATGTGGTATGGTAGTTAAGGGCGCTGGACTACCACATGGCTGACTGCAATTTGAGTCCTGGATCTGGCAGCTTGCCTTCTCACTTTCTCTCTCTCTCTCTCTCTCTCTCTCTCTCTCTCACACACACACACACACACACACACACACACACACTCTGCCCTTCTCTGGTCAAATTAAAAAATAAATAAATAAAATAAAAAATAAAGCTTAATCAAATAATTTAAAAAAAAAAAAAAAAAGAAGAAGGACGAGGATACTGAGGGACAAAAGAGCAATGAAGCTTGTCCAAAGTTGTCGTCTGTATGGAACCAGGGCACGAGAATCTAGCCTGGCCCCAAGGTCTGTGTTCATAACTATTACATTTTACTCATCATGCACTTGACGCTAGGCACTGAGCTGGGCACTGGAGCCTTCCAGGAGCTGGCAATCGAGCAGCACAGACATGGAGGAAGCACTCGCAGTTTGTTTGCATTAACAGGGTCCTGCTGAGGTATGTGGAAAAAAAATGCTGAGGTATGTGGGGGCCGAGAAAGCCTTTTGTAAAAGGGATACCTAACCCAGTACCAGGGAGAGGTGGGTCTTGATAGCCAGAGAACATCTAAGCCTAAAGCAGCTGAGGCTATCCAGACAAATGCGGAGGAAGGAACAGGGCAAGGAAATGTTTCAAGCAGGAGAAACAGCAGCAGCAAAGGATGGGAAGCAAAAAAGCAAGTAAGTCGGGGGTTCGGTCATGGCCGACAGTTGGGTGTTACCACGTACAAACATTCGAAGGCTCACTGACCTGCTGCTGGCGCGCACCAACGCCCTCGGGGTAGAGGTGCCTGTGGGAGTGCAGATAGCCGATGGCCATGCGGACATTCTTCATGGTGATCACAGAGCCATAGGCCAGGTCTGCGAGGAAGGAAGACAGTGACAGGTGAGCTGGCATGGTGCTAAAGGCGGCTCCTGCCTGGGAGAGGTCTCTGAAACCACAGGACTCACTAGCCCTCTGAGACTCGCCTGGGCCGGCACTGTCTAGGGCAGGAAGCACAGATGCCTTCCTCCTCCAACAGAGTCGACTCATGAGGGAGTTCCACAGGGCCCCATCTGTACCCTTCCCGCCCCACCTTCTGAGGACTTCGGAAGAAGCTGTGTTGGTACTGCCGTTAAGGAAGAACCATTTACAATAGCAAAAGACTAGTGTTAAAAGAAAATTAAACCAGTCAATTTAACAGAGTTTTAATAGAGCAAATCTTAATATGACTTAAATCAAGCAGTTGTCCCGGACTTCTGGACAACTCCAGCCAGCCTCGTGGTCAACTTGGCATTGAAGCTGGCAGAACAGGAAAAGTGACGTGTGGAGTAAAAAGGGAAGTGTTCTACAAAAAATGTGAGGGAGTGAGGTAGAGAAATCACGGGTTACATTTTGAAGTTTGTTTGCATTAACACGGTTTAAAAGGCAGGATGCCTGTAATTGACTGAAGCCTAGCAGCTATGATTGCCTATAACCTAGCAACCAGCTCAGGAAAACCGCCTAACATGTACAATTTTGGCTTACCTTAAGAATCCAAGTGTGCTGGGACCAGCAGTTAGCGTAATGGCTACGTCACTGGACTCCCATGTAGTCGACCATGGTTCGAGTCCCGGACCCAGTGGCTTAAACTCACGCCGGGTGCGTGTGCGTGCGTGCCCAAGATCCCAAGAGGAGAATGGAGGAGAAGGGATTGCAGCGTGGCCATCCCCCCCGGGGAGTGATTTCTAGCTTTCTATCTCTCTGTCTCTCTCTGTCTGTCTGGAGAGCGCATGCGCCCTATAGCGAAAATCTCTCCAAAAAAAAAAAGAATCCAAGTGTGCAAGTACAGTGGCTGTTTTAGGCCAAAATAGTTTAACACTAGAAATGACTAATCAGTCAAGGTATGTACGTGCATTCAACAGAATAAAGGAAGAGGCATTTCATGTCTTCATTTGGAATGTTCTCCAAGGTTTAACACTATGACGGACTGATAAGATTGACTTTTCATTCTATATCATTTTGTGCCTTTTGAATCTAGTACCACATGAAATAACTGTTTTTTTTACTCTGAATTATACACACATGCACACACACAGAGTAAACTGCTTTCTCAAGAGCAGCCCTTCCTCCTGCAGGCCGGGGCACTGAAAAACCTCCTTCTGTATGTCTTTCTTCTCTATCCCCTGGAAGCTGGGTGCCCCGCCAGTCTCACACTGCACCAGAGATGGCCTACCCGTCTTCCTTGCTCAAGCAGTCAATCCACAGAAGACATGCCTTACACAGTGAAACCAAAGGTGGAGGAGGCCTGGCTGCAGCCCTGAGAGAGCCCTGACTGGAAGGAAAATGGCTCCACACACTGACAAGTACGGGACAACAGGCAAGTGCTCCCTGAAGGTGTGACAATGTGTGACATGGTGGAAGCTCAGATTAGGGGAGGACGAATTCTCTCCCAAGGAGTAAAACAAAGATGACCTGACAGCAGAGATCCTAGCTGGGCGAGGCCTTTAAATAATGGGTAGGAATCTGCTCACCTGTTCAACTCCATTTATCTGACTTCTTGTACAGACGAGCGCCTGTGGCCCCGGAATGCTTCTACCTTTGCATCTAGAAATGCTCTGTCCCCGCTTCTGAGCCCCGCACTCCCTCAGTCCCTTCCCCAGTTCCTCACCCTTGTGTATTCTCCCATGACCTGAACTGAGGCCCTGCTCTTTTCCTCTTCCCACAGGCTCCTTGCAGATCGCAGCCACTGCCGTAAACATCAAATGCCCCTTCACTTGGCCGATTTCTCCTTTGAAAGCACCAGCCCCAAGCCCGCTGGCCCCAAGGCACAGATTTCCCCAGGCAACTCAAAGGTGACCTCTCTAATGTGGAACCTACTATGTGTCCCTCCTAACCGTATTTTCCTCCTGTGTCCCTATTCTTCATTCTTCCCACAGTCTGGGAGAGCCCACTGTGTTTCGGGCACTGTGCAAGGCACTGGAGGGACTACACTGAGGAAGGCGTGGCCCCACCTCCAGGAGCAGTCACGGACACTCTAGCTCTCATCTTTCTCATCAATCTCCCAGTGTAGACCCATTTGCCTCACCCCGGTAGCAGCCACTACCGTGCCCAGCCCAGTTCCTGCAACAGCTGCCCAGAGGATTTCCCTGCCTCCAATCCTGCTCCCTCCCGAACCATTCGACATGCTTCCACCAGTGCCATCTCCTGCAGCCTCCCTGGCCTCCTGGCTGCTCCAAGACCTGTACCAGTCTCCTCTGCCTATTTCCTGAAGCCAAATATCTCAGCCAGACATGGCGAACTCTCATAAGCTAGACCAACCTTCTTTTCACATTTACCTTGCATATTTCTGCATATAACCTGTGCCTTGAGTTTTGCCGTTTTCCACTTTGATCAATGCTGTCCCTGTTGCCTGATATGCCCTCCCCTCCCCTCTCTTCCTGGTGAAATCTAAGAAGCCTCATCCTCCCAGGGTCTGACTCTAGAGCAACCCATTCCATGTGGCTCTGATCCCCTCCCACAGCCCAGAAGCAGTGACCTCTCACGCCTTCAATCCCAGAGCCTGTGCTCGTCATTAGTATTTAGCGATGCACATATGTACAGCACACACAGTGTGTGGGAGATCTTCCACACCAGACTCTCTGCAGGGTGAACACTTGCTCAGTTAATACCTGTGAGTAAGTGACTGGATCTAAGTCACACAATACTGTGATGGAAACTGACGGCTGGCCCCAGAGGTCCTTGTGCTGTCACCAGTTCTGACAGTCCTTCCCACAGAGCTGGCTTTAATACCACAAAGGAGAAGCCATTCTTCAAGGTCAAAGAGCTTGCTGCTCAGGATGTCCTCGGCGCTGCCCTGATTCACTCTCCTGAGTATTCTTATCAGATCAACTGGGACTTCCTTCCACTTAGCCATCTACAGGCTAAAATAACTCAAGCCATCATACTTGGGTGTTTTTTTCAGTTCAACCCCCCAGGAAACGCCTCTGCCCTTCCACCTCTGTAAAGGCCCAGGGACACTCACGTTCGGGGATGGAGGCATTGTGAAGGTTGTTTCCTGAAAGCCGGGCCTGGAAGGCAGAACTGAAGAAACCGTCGCCAGGACCACTGCGAGAAAAGGAGGAGCAGACAAGAGCCAAGTTCATGCGTGAAATTGTTATCTCCCAGGAGCCAGGGAAGATTCTGCTCAGTCAGTTCAAAAGAAATGGAATCAAAGTGGCAGCATGCTATCAGGGGACAGACACGGGTGATGGAGCCAGAGTAATTAGGGTCCAAATCCCAACTTAGTCACTAACTGGCTGGGTGACTGTAGGCAAGATACCTAGCCTTGTTCAGTCTCGTTTCCTCATTTATAAATTAGAGATTTGAAAAAACAAAAAGAACACACAAATGATGACAATATAATAAGATATACAAAACTCTGACTGTAATTCCTGACGCTTAGTAGCTCCTCGTTAGATGGGAGCTCTGGCTGTGGTGCTATCATTATTACCCTTACTCCTACTGCACTCCCACGGTTCTCCACCCCCTACCAGGGACATTGTTTAGGGGTAAGGGGCAGTTGGATATTAAGAAATTCTCCTCTTCTGCGGCCAGCAAGTAGCATGGTGGTTAATGCACTGGATTCCCACATGGCTGACACAGTTTGAATCCCAGACCTGGCGGCTTGCCTTCTCACTGACCCTCTCTGTCTCTGCTGAGTGCACATGCCCTGTAATAAAATTTTAAAATAATAATAAAATAAAACAAATAATTCTTTAAAAAATAAAAAATTCTCCTTTCCCTTCATGGCCCTTCCAAACCCATGGATAACCAGAGGATAGAGAAAAGGGGGCAACAAAAACAAAGATAGACCCTGGGACCACTTTTTTTTTTTTTTTAAGGTTCTTACCATAGGGTGTGTGAACTCACCAGGGAAAGACAGAGGAGGGAAAGTGAAAATCACCTCTAGAGGAAATGGTCATGCTGCAATCCCTTCTCTTCCATTCTCCTCCTGGAATTTTGGGCATGTGAACATATGTGCCCAGCATGATTCTCAAGCTGCCAGGTCTAGCACTTGAACCATGGTCAGTCATGTGGGAATCCAGTGCTTTAAGCACCACCCCACCCCACACTAGCCCTGTCTCTGAGCCCCTCTGTTATCCCATTCTAACTGCAGACTCAGGCAATCACACGGCCCATCATGGGCCAAGGGCCAAGGGGCGGACCAGAAGCAAAGCCCTGGAGAGGCTCTAACTGTACCTTTTGTTCAGCACTGTGAAGTGAACGGCAAAAGTGGCCGTGTAGAGAGCCAGGGGGAGCACTATGAGGCACAGGATGCGTGCAGTCAGGTGTTTCCCCAAAGTCACCTGCAAAGAGAAGCCAATACAGCATGGTGGGCACATAAAGTCTCGTTATTCCTTATTTCTCATATGTACATAATATGTAAGTTGTTAAGTATAAGCCATAATTTTTTAAATGGCCAACAGTAAAGAATAAATGAACATTTTTAGCCTTTCTGTAAAAAAGCTATTGGCTTCCAAATCTGGAGATCCTGGGTCAAGTAAAGAAGGTTGTGAATCCAGAAAGTCACCCCACCCACTTTACTGCAGGTCCCATGCAGTCAGTGTGTGCCACACACGTGGCATGAACCCAGCTGGACAGAATCCTCGGGTCGGGTAGTTAGAACATTTAAAAGATATTAAGGGGAGGGGCCACTGGGTAAAGTGGTGGTTAAAAATGCTGGGCTCCCACATGGCTGATTACAGTTCGAATCTCAGACCTGGCAGCTTGGTTTCTCACTTTCTCTTTCTCTCTGCCCTTCTCTGGCTAAATTTAAAAAATAATAACAAAGTTAAAAAAATTTAAAAAAAGATATTATGGGGGGGAAATACCAAAGGAGAGCTCCAGAGATATTAGTCATTTTCTCCCTTTTACCTGTCCAGCCTCTCAGCTGGCCCCCTCCCCGATACCCTGCCATCTATGGAAAGAACACCCCCACTGTGTGCAGCAGAGGCACTGGCTCCTGCTGGGCAACACTGCTGCAAAGACATTTCTACAGCACTTATTAGGTTCTCACCAATGAAAGACTGAGGTCTCCAAACAGGTGCCAAAGGTCTGAGATGGTGTTCAGCCCCACATGCAGGATGATAAAGAGGCCAACGAACTTGACCCCTAAAGCACCAGCGAGACTGACTCCAGTCAGGCTGAGCCAAAACCACCAGGGGGCAGAGAAGGGCCTGAAAACCAACAAGACAGAATTTAGTTTGCCACCTGGAACCAAACTGGAAAGCAAGAGTAGAGGCCTAAGGCCCAAGTTCTCTGAGTCAGGGAGGTTGGGCTGTGACTTCTACCTTGGGGTTCCTAACCTCAGGGGACTGTGACGTGGCTCCAAGGAGATGATGGTCTAGGAAACCCTAGGAATTTCAGGGAAAGTATAGGGTGAAAGTGAGTACGATGTTTTTCTGTGAAAAGGGTCCATACAGATGAACTCTTCTAAGTTTCACTACAACCCCATGAGGGAGATCCTTCTACTACCTTCTTTTGCACATGAGAAAACTGAGGTACAGGGAGATTAAACAATGTATCGAGCAAGCAGTGGAGCATAGTAGATCCCAGGCAATCAGGTCTGAGGTCAGCATTCCTAACCATTTTGCTACACATAAGGTCCTAGCACACTGTGTTGCAATTTCCTGACATCTGGCTGCCTCTTCTGCCACAGTAATGTTCTTTAACAGCCAAGACGACATGCCTCTGTACCTCCAGCTTCTAGAACAGTATCTGGAACATAGTATGTATTTAAGAAATGGTAGCTGGGGGCCAGCAAGTGGCATAGTGGGTAAAGCACTGGATTCTCATGTGGTCGACTGCAGTTTAAGTCCTGGACCCAGTGGCTTGAAACTCACACCAGGTGCATGTGCATATGTGCACAAAATCCTAAGAGAAGAACGGAGAAGGGACTGCAGTATGGCCATCCCCTTGGGGGTTGATTTCTCACTTCCTGTCTGTCTGTCTGTCTCAGTCTGTTTCTGTCTACCCAGCGAGTGCATGCAGCCTGTAGCAAAAATCTCTCCAGGAAAAAAAAAAAAAAAAAGGGAAAGAAATGGTAGGTGGAAGTGGATGCAACAGAAGCAGAAGACAACTCCAGGACAGAATGGGCTGGTAGTCACTGGATCAGGTTTCATTAGCATTACGTACCTTAGTGAGCTTGACCATGGGTGAAGCCAAGTTGACTTGTGAAAAAGTCTAGGAGAGGCCAACTCTTTGGGTTTGAATAGAACAAATGACCTATTTTACTCTCTCAGAAGAATAATCTGGAAAAGTCTATTCAGGAGGTAGAGTAGGCCCTCCAGACCAGCTTTAGAATTGACCAGGACCTGGAAAGATCCTCATGACTGGTATAGATCATTCAGGAAAATTTTTACATACGTTATTCCCATCATCACTCAGAACTAGATGCAAGCACCAAGGGCAGGGAGATAAACAGTTACCAGGCAGCACGTAACATGGTCTCTCCCCTCTAGGACAAAGAATGTGAAGGATAAAGTTGTCCCCAGATACCCGAGTCAGCACTGGTGCTAAGGGGTAGCTCATGAGAGGTGGGTGGGGGAAGAATCCCTTCAAAATATCCATAAACTCCTAACAATTCACCCTTACCCAATTGTACCCCCACTGTAAATATATTGGGTTATTGGAAAAGTCATGATGCATAGGAAAACAAGTCATGACTTCTCAGACGATCCATTAATACTTTTGAGGAAAACAAGTAACATTTTCTCAGTCCTCTGTAAAGCAAAAGCATTTATACAGAACTTCTTAAAATCTGTTTTTATGATAAAAAATGAAGAAAATAAGTTTTTTTTAAAAAAAAGAATAAAAAGTATGCTTGCCTTAAACTCAGCTTCAAGATATGTCCACTAGGTACCAGCCCCACCCCAGCCCTGGCTATTCCAGGAATTACGGACTTTCACAGCTTCTGACCCTCCCCCTCCTGAAAATGGTGTTTCTGACCTGTCGGCGTAGGAGTTGGACTTGACCATGCTCAGCATGGCAGCCATGATGAAGAACATCAGGATGGGGTCGAGGAGGATGTACTGGGACAGCGTGAGGCATCCTGTGTCTGAAAAACAAGAGCTCGCTGGTCATAAAGCGAAGTCAAGGGAGGGATCTCCTAAAAACTAAGCACTACAGACAGTCCCCCTTACACATACTGGTACGTGAGCATCTCTGCAATCGAGATGGGCCACCAAGCCATCAGAGAGGTGGAAAGACACAGCTTTGGGTACACCAAAGCCCAATGACGAGAAGCAGCACTTCACACCACCTCTAGGCCTTCAACCCAAGAAAGGATACATTACTCACTCAGAGCAGCCTGGAGACGAGGTCTCTTCCTCATTTCCACCATTTGGATAGGAGTTCTGCCACCCTGCTTACATAGCTGCAAACTACCTAGACCTAAGAGTCTTACCTTTTACATGAAGGTTCTGTTGAGTTTGAGTCTCCACACAGGTGCCAGAGTGATTTCTCTTTTTAACTTAAATCTCATTACATCAAGTTTTCCTTTAAGCCCTCCAATGTCTTCCTATATTACTCAGACTCACAAATTATGATGGCTGCTGAGACTGCAGTCTCCCTCCCTGTCCAATCTCACCTCCAAACACCCTCAGCCTCCTTCACTCCACCTGTGCCATACTGGCCTTTTGGTGCACCCTGAAGCCACTAAGCCTTGCACCAGGACTACTGCACATACCGTTCCCTCGCCTGACACTCTTACCTCAGATCTCTTCAGGGCTTGATCCTTTGTTTCACTCAGGTCTTTGCTCAGAGTTATCTTCTCAGGTAGCTCCTCACTGACCACCCTACCTAAAATAGTACTCTATCCCTTAATCTATTCTATTAGGGTCTCAGGAAAGTCATGATGTATTTTTCTATGCAAAATACATGATTTTTCCAAAGACCCAATATTTTCTACACTGTACTTACAGCTCAAGAATTTGAGATTACAGAGTTAACAGCTTACTTTCTTATTCCTGTCTCCCCACTAGGGAAGTTCCATGAGGGCAGTGTCGCATCAGTGTATCTTTTGAGGCCAAGAAAAGTGACCTGGCACAAGGTAGGTAGGTACTTAAGATTCAGTTATTGAATGAAAAATGAATAAATGACTGAATGAATAAATAAGTAAAGAGGTTAAAGATATAAGAGAAAAGCTGCCAGTCATCTACAGAAGAATCCTATGATCCTGCAAATATATCCATCAAAATGATGCAACAAATTTATCAAAACCAACCCCTACAATACCCACCTAGACTGGTCCAGATGCCTATAAACATTAAACTCCATGAGGTCATGAATGGACTTTCATACAAATGAGCTAACAGCAGGATCAACTTCTATGATCAACATCATTTCTGCATGTGAAGATCAACCACATAACAATGTTTAAATTCCCATTTTGCCATCCTCTCTCACCCAGATACTTCTGTAGCATCTGCCTTTATATTTGGTTAAAATCAGTTTAGGGGACCAGCAGTTGGCATAATGGCTATGTCACTGGACTCTCATGTAGTTGACCGCGGTTCTCGTCCCGAACCCGACAGCTTAAATTCACGCCAGGCGCATGTGCGTGCGTGCCCAAGATCCCGAGAGAATAATGGAGAAGAGATTGCGGCATGGCCATCCTCTTGGGGGGGAGGGGTGATTTCTCGCTTTCTATCTCTCTGTCACTGTCTTTCTGGCAAGCGCACGCACCCAAAAAGAAAAAAAACTCTCAAAAAAAAAAAATCAGTTTAGGGAATGCAAACTAATCTTAACTTAAGAGAAGCAAAACTAGAATTGTAAGCTTCCTTCAACACACATATGAATACTCACAAATTTATCATATTATCCATTTCAAACTCTGATATGGTGCCTTGGAGATAATCTATTCCTTACAATTACACATGCCAAGTCTCCTCTCCCATAATATAAAGGCCTGCTACATATGTAAGTATTTATAAGTGTAAGTGTGAATCAGATGAGATGTGTAATACATTTAACCCAGGGCCAATTAATTAGGCCCACTGAAAGGACCCCGGAACATATTGACCTCCACTTACAATCAGTGTAGCTATCCATTTCCCGAAAAACAGGGAGTAAGGCAACTCACCGAAGGTGATGAGGGCGGCGGCGAGCAGTGCTGCCGGGTGGGATTTGGACAGATCCAGCACAGTGAGGTAGGCAAAGGGGACCAGACAGGAACCGAGGAACGCACAGAACTACGGGAAGAACAGAGAGGCTGTTGAGTAAGAAGACAGGCTAGGCATCAGGAACAAGTTTACTTGTTACAAATTATTGTTTAAGATGGAGGACCCTGATGAAAGCAAGACTGTGGTAACGTAAAATCTCCTAAAACACCTATAAAGAAGAAAGGGGAGGCTAGCTGGTGGCATGGTGGTTAAGGTAGCTGTATGGCTGACTCCACAGTTTGAGTCCTGAACCCAGCAGCTTGAGAAACATGCCAGGCATGTGTATGTGTGCACTCGAAATCCTGTAAAGAGGGAGAAATGGAGAAGACTGCAGCATGACCATTCCCCACGGGGGTGCTTTCTCGCTTTCCCTCTCTCTGTCTCTCTCTGGCAAGCACACACATCCTCTGGCAAAATTTAAAGAGAGAGAGAGAGAGAGAAGAAAAGGGAAAGGGAAGGGAAAGAAAAGAAAAAGAAAGAGTGGTGTGACAACAAAGAGTCAAATCGAGTGATATACAAGCATGTTCCCACTGAGCAACGCATGCACTGACGTGCCCTCCAGTCAGCCAGGAAGGTGGTGCAGGGCAGCCCCATCACCACCAGCTGCACAGCACTGCCTCCCACCCTCCCCATCTGCATTATGTGAACAGTTAGGGTACCAACCACATAGGTTTACTCTGAAGATTATTAAATGAGTTAAAGTTTCATTAACACAGAAAGTACTTGAAAAACATCAGCTGCAACTACAAAACTGTGGGTACCCAATGAAAAGAACCTCTCGGAAGGTATCTTAATATTGTAGAAAATTCTGTTATTTCTACCCTGGCTCTTTTCTTTGATAACACAGGAACCACTCTTTAACCTGCAGGATGCAGCTGATTTTGAAAATCAGTGCTCGACACTTCAGTACCTGAAGGGTGGTTTGATTTTGCTTCCTCTTTCTTTCTTTCTTTCTTTCTTTTTTTTTTTTTTTTTTAAATCTCCAGCCTGCTTTCATCCTCCTATTCTGCCCATCAAAAGTAAACAAAATGAGGGACCAATAGATGGCATAGTAGTTATGTCACTGGCCTCCTACAGGGCCAACCATGGTTCGAGTCCCGGACCCAGAGGCCTGAAACTCACGCCAGACACATGTATGCATGCCCAAAATCCCAAGAGGAAAATGGAGGAGAAGGGACTGCAGCGTGGCCATTGCCCCTGGTGGGATGATTTCTCACTTTCTGTTTCTGTCTCTCCAGTGAGTACATGCACCCATAAGCAAAAATCTTTCTCAAAAAAAAAGTAAACAAAATGAATCCAGAAGAAAGTCCCACATTTGGCTGTCATTTTTAATCAACAGAAAGCAATGCACTCTAGTGTGAATGAGATTGGAAGAGGCTGTTATATTTGGCCTTCTCAATTTCCAGAGCAAGTCCCCAGTGAGACAGGCCTAAATCTAATTATGCATGCTGAATGGTGTTCAAAAGTCATTAGGAAAAAACAAAATCACTGATGGAAAGGAACTTGAGAGCAGGGGACTTGTTTAATACGGCATGACATGACCATGCAAATAATCCAATGCTTGCCTCAAGTAAGCACACAGCCAATGATCTAACGTGCTTGAGCTCCCCGAGGAAGGTGGCTGTAAATGCACACTGCTTTGAGAGTTCCAGGCTGGAGGTCAGTTTCTGCAGGTTTCATCTAGTGACAGGTCCAGGCTTCCCAGAGACTTGGGTGTTCAGGCCCTGCTGTGTTCCGAGCTACTGTTGTCAGTCAAAGCACAGAGGGAATGGAGCAGGCAAATGGCCTCCTTTAAAATAAGGCTGGAAAACTATGTGTGCCTGAAACCTTCAGGGGACAAAAGGCAAGAACCTGGTGACAGGGGTGTGGGGCACAGAATCTTAAGAAAAGGCTCTGGGAGGTAGGCAACGCCCCAGCAGCTGTGCTGCAGAGTAGAAGCACGTGTGGCATGCCAGCAAACAAAGGTCAATATGGGGGCCACAGGAGCCCCTGACTGCTGGGGCCCCACCCAGGATGCTCTCCACCTGAGATCTGATGTGCTCATGGGCGGCGTGAGCAAATGCCAACCTGTGCAAGCTCTCTACTGTCTGTGGATTCCCTTCCCTTCCTCCCCACCTTAGTTCTGAATCGCTACACCACAGCAGGTGTGTCCAGTCCTCCTCCTCTCTTCTACCTGCCCTAAATCCCTTGACCTACACCTGCCACCACTCAGGGCTTCCAAGTATAACACTTCTCAGTGAGTGTGGCCCAGTATCTATACCAAGTCAGGAAGCCTTACTCCTCTCATTCCCATGTAGCTGTGATGCTCGTATTTGTCCCCGGGCTTCTGGAACAAAAAGGTACCGTCATATCCACTCAGGTAGCCAGCAAGACCTATCAGCATCTGAGGAGAGAGGAGAATAAACAAAAGGATGAGAGACCTTTAGAAGACGATTCCTCTGTGCCCAAACTTCCCTCCAGCTGCACCCACAGACTTTGGCTTCCCTTAACAACAGACCATGGAAGGAGGTGCCAGCGTGGCATTTTCTCCCACAGCTGCCACGAAGCAAAGACTCTTTTGTCTACAGAACTCATTGCATGAAACAGATCCTCTCTTGTGTTATGGCCAAGTTCTTGGGAACGGTGCAGACTAAACACTTAGGAAGAAAGAAGCCCACCATTTGAAGAGCAGGTCAGTGAGGGGCTCTCTCATTTAGCTGTCTTTCATTTGTTATGAAGTAAAATGTGAGGTCGATTCCTAGGAGACGGGACCATTGAAAGGAAATGGAATGCCAAGTCACAGTGAGGGGAAGGATGATGACAACAATGAGAAACAATAGCCCCAATAGAAATGAAGGGAAGGATGTGAAAGCCAGAGACTGTTTTTCCTATTTCCAGTACTCTGAAGGAAGGTGGCATCTCTCAAACCAGAACACATCAACTATAAAGTCAGACTGAGTCATGAATCCTATGAAATATCTGAGAGCACTGGTCCCTTCATTTCTATTGGGTTGTCAACAAAGTCATGGTGCATTTTTTAAATTTAAATTTAAATTTAAATTTTTTAATTAAATGTATTTATCTACATTAATTCACTATACATCATTACAGCATACAAAATGAGATTTCCCATCCAGAATACACTGTATATTGGCTCAATCAAGCACATCAACATACGTGTTATCGTCAACAAATAATTTTCCATTTCTTATTTCCTGTATATTTTGCTTTTTTTGCCATCCTTGATTCCTTATCTCTCACCCCCTCCCACACTGTCTCTAGTATGGTGCATTTTGCATAGAAAAACAGAAAAATATGACTTCTCTGACGACATAATATATTTCCTTGGCCATCAATGCTGTAAAATTCTCTTTTGCACACAATCAGAAGTGGCTTCAGTACAGGCACTGGTCCGTAAATGCCGACCGTCTGTGACGCCCCAGGCAGCTGGGCCTGAGCCCTGTGCTCTGTCAGGCCGTGTGGAGGGACAGCACACACTGGCAGTGTGCGGAGTCCCTCTTGCACTTGGACCTCTCACCAACTCACTCTTTCAAAAAAATCTGAGCAGGTCTTGGCAGGCACTCTCCGTAGCTCATTCTAAGGCATGGAAGCCAAAGTGCAGCAGTAAATGATTATGAGGTCTTGTTTTTTGGTCTTTTAAATTTATTTAGTTATTATTAATTTTCATTTTACTAGAGAAAGAGATAGAGACAGAGAGAAAGGGAAAGTAAGAAAGCAAGCCCCCAGGTCTGGGACTTGAACTGCAGTTGGCCATGTGGGAGTCCAGTGCCTCAACCACCACACCATCTGCCAGCCCCTGTAAGGTCTTTTTATTTTTTAAAAAATTATTTTACTTAACTTTATTTACTTATTTTTTATATTTGACCAGAGTGGGACAGAATGAGAGAGCGAGGGAGAGAGCAAGAAAGCAAGCCACCAGGTCCAGGATTTGAACCATGGTTGGCCAGGTGAGAGTTCGGCACCAATGTCCCTGGCAGGCCCAGGTTTTTTTTTTTTTTTTTTTTTTAAAGAAAAAAAAAGAAGAGGGAAAATCCCAGGGTCTAAAAGTAAATAGAGCTAATTTAATATAATGTAATTTAAGGTACTGAAAAGAGAGGATCTGGGCCAGCCAGGTGATGTGGAGGTTAAGGTTCTGAATCCTACATGGCTGACTCCATGGTTCCAGTCCCGGATCCGGTGGCCTAAAACACATGCTGGGTGACTGTACATGTGTGCCCAAAATCCTGAGGGGAGAAGGGAGAAGGGACTGCAGTGTGGAGAGACAGTGAGAGGGAAAGTGAGAAATCACTCCCCAGGGAGGATGGCCAAGCTACAATCCCTTCTCCTCTTGGGATCTTGAGCATGCACGCACATGTACCAGGCATGATTTTCAAGCCACTGGGTCTGGGACTCAAACTGCAACTGGCCATGTGGGAGACCAGCAACGTAACTGCTATGCCATCTGCTGCTGGCCCCAGAAAAAAGAAAAAAAAATCTTTAAAAAAAAAAGAAAGAAAGAAAAGACAGGGTCATTCAAATGCCTAGAAGAACTAAACTGACAGGTAACAATTAAATGGACTCTCCTTCCCCACTGGGATCTCAGAGGACAAGCCTGCCTGGTGCTGGTCTTGAATTCCCAGACTGATTGGCTGGTCTGGAGGGAAGAAGTGCTCAGATGGTTTGGACTTCAGTGCCCTAGTACCAGCTCTCAGATCATGGACAATACTTAGTATCTCTGAAGCAACAAAAACTTCATTGCAGGGGGTGATGAGGATTAGAGGGGGCAATATAAGTAAAACACATAACATTATGCCTGGCACTTAGCAGGTACTCAAAATTCTGTTCCCTCTTGGTTCCCTTAAGATTAACAGCAGCCCAGGACCAGCAGTTAGCGTAATGGCTATGTTGCTGGACTCCCATGTAGCCGACCACAGTTCGAGTCCCGGACCTGGTGGCTTAAACTCACGCCAGGCACGTGTGCGTGCATGCCCAAGATCCCGAGAAGAGATGGAGGAGAAGGGATTGTAGCGTGGCCATCCACCCTGGGGGACGATTTCTCGCTTTCTGTCTCTCTGTCTCTCTCTGTCACTCTGGCGAGCGCACGCACCCTGTAGCAAAAACCTCTCCAAAAATAAAAAATAAAAAAAGATGAAGCAGCCCTGGGCTAGTGTCCTAACTAAACAATACATTACATCAACAGTAAAAGATGAACAACCTACTATAAAAATGTGTGAATTCTTAGAGAGTGAAACACAAATGGCTAATACACACATGAAAATGTATTCGCCCTAACTCATAAACACATGCCAAGGAAAACAGCGGTATACCGTTCTTTGCTCTCACATTGGTAAAGTTTGTAAGATGAGCCTATCAACCCTCGCAATGGTGTGGGGAAGAAATACACCATTGGTGGGAGTAGGTATTATTATACTCTCTTTAGGGAAAACTTAGCAATCTCACACAGTTTTCGATGTGTTAGATACACACTGACTCTTTAATATGGCTGCTGGCAATCTTTCAGATACACTTGCACAACCATGCAAAGATGCACATACATGGGTATCTATTGCAGAATCTCTTAAAAATGGCTAAAAACTAAAAATAAAGACACATACCCACCAACAGGGATAAAATCCTTTATGACACATCTGTATTAATGGCTTAATATATAACCATCAAAAGGAATGAATTATGGGCCAACTCTATGAGCTGGTGGTTAAGGCAGCCAGATTCCACATGGCCAGTGGGTGGTTCAAGTCCTGGACCCAGCAGCCTGAGAAATATGCTGGCGTGCCCAAAATCCTGAAAGGAGGGAGAAATGGAGGAGAAGACTGTGGTATAACTATTCCCCACAGGGGAGTCTTTCTCTTCTCTCTTTGTCTCTGTCTTTTTCTGGCAAGTGTATGCATTCTCAAGCAAAAAAAAAAAAAAAAAGTTAGACATACTGTGTTTAAAATACCAGTTGCTGAACAATTTTAATCTGATCCTAATTATATATTTTAAAAGAACCTGTATATATATAACATGTTGTTCATATGCATGTAGATAAAAATATACACACTTCTATTTCTATGAAAAAAAAAAAAAGAAACAACTTCTAAGCAAGCCCAGTT